CATTGACCTGCCTGCCTGCTTTAGATTCCGAAACGTCTTCGCCGCCAGAGCTGGAGAACTGCGATTTAAACTGCTCGAACGGCAAAATTTCTCTCGGGTCCACTTCAATGGTAACTTCCTCGTCATCATGTGTATTAATTGCCATGATTTTACAGGTATTATTTGCATTTGCAACTACTCCCTCTCCAAGAAATACCTTTTCGTCCTTCACATCAATCCTAGGCAGGTAGCCTTCTGTCAACTCGGTTTCGATCAAGTTGATTTGAATAATTTGACGAGATCTTGGTCCTATTGTGTATCTGACCGTACCGTGATTGACCTTGTTCTTCTCTCGACTGGGCTTAGACTTACTAATCCCTTCGTTTGCAAGTCGCTCTATCGCATAATCCAGGTCCGAATCAGTTTCAAGTTCTGATATTTCATCGTCTTTCGGTACTATGCGCATAGCTTTGATAAGATTGTCTTGTAAGTGTTCCATAGGCACATTAGTAGGTAGGAATGGTATCGGATTCATTAAGTCACTGTTTACCATTAGGGTTCCATTATAATACGATATAACTGCACTCGTGTCTATTAAATAGTCCCTTCCTAACATGCCATCTTCTTCAATGGGGAAATTATTCCACACTATATGGAATTTAGCAGGCTTGCCATTTATCGTTAGCAATACAGTGCCTAGGGTCGGAACAGTATGTGCAGTTATCCCGCTCAGCGTAGTCGACTCTCTTGGGTCGAACCTCGTAGTCCAATGTAAGGCATTAAATTTTATAAGATTTACAGCCGATCCATTATCGACCATAAATACAGCCCACCTTTTATCGGTCTCGGGTATTCGAAATCTTACTCTTGTAGGCGCATGGATTTTATTATCTCTTGCGCCAGGTCCCCGATCTGCGGCAACTGCGACGACTGACTCGGAAGCAACGTCTCCGAATTTTTCAGTATCATCATCACTTTCGCTGGCGGTACTCCCGGCTTCTCCGCTTCCGGCGTCTGTCGAATTTCCGTTATCAGAGTTTTCGCCTGTTGCTGCCGATAATTCTGAGCCGGGGATGTCTGAGATGGGCCCGCCGCGGTCACTCCAGGGCGAGCCCCATCGGAGTTTAAATTACCAGGATTTCCTCCAAAGTGTTGATACGGTGGGTTCGGTCTCAACTCATTGAATCTCTGTTGTTGATCGTAGGCAATTGCCCCGTATCTTCGTCCCGTAGGGTTTTGATACATGTCCGTATCAGGATTGTACAATCGTCCTGGGTGACTGCCGTTATCTTGAAAATTTCTATTCCGCTGGCGTCCCCTCCAATTTCTAAACATAAACTGCCTCTGCCCCTGGGTCTGATTTTCCTGTTGTCGAGCCTGGCTTTCCTGGTTCTGATTCTGGTATTGTTGTCGTTGATTATTCTGATAAAATCGTCCGTTCTGTCGTTGGATAATAAATTGTTGCACTTCCGCGGGTACCTCTTCCCATTCTTCATAGTATGGTTCCTCAGCTTCAACTTGCTGGTCCTGAATATACCCAACATTAAATCCACGGTTAATCGACAGCCACTTACTCATACTAAGGTCCTCATTTTTTGGCTTGTTCTTATTTCTAGTCTCTATGCGAAGGGCTTCCTTGTAAGCCTCCTCAAGAGATTTCGGCTGCTTAATATCGACTAAGTCCCCGATCTCTTTCGGCAGCCCGTCAATGAAGGTTTTAAGTGTGGAATTCTTTATCGGGGTCATCATGACATCACTATAATCAGTTCCAAGTTCTTCTTTCAGGGCGCTCTGCGCGCAGTTTAATAGAATATTGATACGGTCGTGAAAGTCTCCGACCGTGTCCCCATTTTTCATTCGCAAATTATGGATCTTTGAATCATAATAAGAGAAGTCCTTACACGGGGCAAATCGCTCCTTAAGTATTTTAACTAGTCCCTCGGTAGTATTTACGGTTTTACCGTAGATGCAATCTCTCGCTGGTCCCTTTAATTTCGCTATGATCAAGCGAATAAAATTTGCTTCTTGTGTATCAGCTATAAGTGCCTTTCCATTACGGATGTCCTGAATAAAGTCTTTTAGAGGAACATTCTTTCCGTCAAATTCCGTGATTCCTTGCACAATACTTTGCAAAGTGAAACTCGCTGACATACTAGTAAGAAGATTTAAGGTCGCTTGTTCAGTCGCCATTTTCTGTCGTTTCTTGGGGGCAGATGGTAAGATACAAAAATACGCGAATGGGAACAAACAGAAATAGAGGGGAGATAAAATAAAATAAAAAAAAATAATATAACACGCGGTCACTAAATCGCGACCAAAATGATTATATAGGATAAGAGTAAATAGTAATTATTATTATAACTAAGGAAAAGCAAAATTCGATTAATAATGATAATAATACTCAAATAGGATCTACACCAGGTAAAAGTAAACTCAAATTTGAATCGTTATTCTGGATCTGACCTCCCTAACAGGAGAGAATAATTCAAATTTCCTAGTAAGGCGTAAGACAATAAAACGGTCTAAACTTGCAAATAGATTTCGATCGGTCGCTCCCCATTAGTTGAGACTGTTGGCGTGCTACTGATCCCATCTAAATTTTTCGCTGATCCTTATTATTTAAAAGAAATAAGAAAAAGGTGAAATTAATCATTACAAACTACTTATCAGCAAAAAAAAAGAAAAATAGATAGAAGGAAAAAAAAAACTTCACCTTCATAAAAGTATTAAAACAAAAGTACTTAGCGAAAGTAATTGTTTCAATTAAAATTGAACAATAGGCAGGTGACCGCAAAACCTCTAGCTAAATTTCGTTAATATTTGCAAACTAAAAAAAAAAAAAAAAAAAAAAAAAAACGAGGAATTACTCGAACAAGAAAAATAGATAAAAAGAAAAAAAAACAATAAAAAAAAAATAAATTCAGTCAGCAAAAGAAATTCGAGCGCGTTCAAATTTCCCGTTGGTTTCAGCAAAATCAAACACGTGAGAAAGAGCGAAAATTTCTTCCTCAATTATACGCCGGAAGAAACGCTTCGGGTTTCAACTCCGCGTGCCGCTCCAAAAAGATATTCCAGAGCCAATGCGTTAATTTATATATATATATATATATATATAAAGAAAATCAATAGAATTAAAAGTAGACACAATGATTTTACGGCATTTAATCGAAGGCACTAACCACGCTCTGCTACCATTTGTTACGTGCTAATTTTGATATCCTTTCAAAATGGGCACGTGCTAGACCGTTTTTAGCTCCGAGTGGTCCTGACTCGGCGGACTAGACCTTCGATACGGTACCCCGACCGTGTCACCGAATGGATAGCGTCTTTTCTGATAATATCCGAACTTCGAGCTCGCGAGGGGACAGCAGGAGTAATTGAGTAAGCAAAAGGGAAGGGGCTTCGGCGGTTTTCTTAAATGAACTTACACCGGCGTGTTATATAGGTTTATATATTTATATATATTTTAATACGTCTAATGACACTTCTAGTAATATTATTCCGTGCTTTACGGTTTATTAAATAAATATTCGCGCGGCGAGTGGCGCTTAAACACTTGGTCCCGGTACACAATCACGTGGATTCGCCCAAGAGGCAACCTTGATTATGCTTAGTAGTATAAGAGCGGAGAGAGAGAGAGATAATAAAGTAACGATAAGGAAGAGAATTCAACTTATCGGGGATAGAGCTCAAAAGTACTCACTCTGTTGTCTAGGTCCTTGGTATTGTTAGGTTCGTTTTAATAGTTTATCACTGGTTTCGAATTAATTCAATAAGCAGGTCCAATATATTTTCCTTATCCAATAGGATTCCAGTGGTATTCCAATATTATTCCAATAGTATTCCAATGAATAAAAGATCGTAAGAAATAACGATTCTCGGGACTTCGATATAATTTTTAATATTCTTAAACTCTTGCAGGGGCTCTTAGTCGAGCGCTGATTCCTGACTGACTAAGGATTCCTTTTTTTATTTACGCCGGTTCGTTTTATATCTTTTGTCCCTCGCTTTTCGTCTCTCTCCCGCACATATACTTTAAAACGTTTACGCTTCTCGTATCGGCTCGTCTTACCTAGCTAAGCACCCTGACCGAAGCATGCCGTCGCAGCATGCTGGCGCAGCGTGAATCAGCCTCTGCCGCACGTTCCCATCGAGTCGCGCACACGAATACTGCTGACTATACTATGTTAGAACGGAAATCTCGGGTTCGAAATATTATTTGACAAAATAAAATGAAAAAAAAATAATACAATGAAGCGTCACATAACAATCACTATCTTCTTGAAGATATGATGATAAATTATGATTATTTTTCCTTTAATTCAAGTAATCAACAAAACAAAGAAGGAATCAACTCACTCTGCTAAATATCAATAAAAAAATTAAACTAAAATATTCTGATACTATAGCTCTAAGATTTTCAATAAATTAGACAATAATATAAGAACACTGAATACAAGAAAATATATAACCAAAGATAATAAGAAAAGGGATACAGAATAATGCTAAACTGTTGAAAAATTTTAAAATAATATACTTAATATTGTCAATTAACATTGTCAGATTAATATTGTCAATTTACGGTATTTTTAAATTTTTAAATCTTGTAAATCATACTGAGAAAACTAATTATTCCTATATATATTACAGCATTATAAATAAGATACTATAATTCACAAGTAATGAATAATTATATATTGTAAATAGATTTTTATAAATAGAATGTACCATTGCACATACAGGCAAGTTTTTACCTGTTAGAAATATTGTTGTGGTATTTATTTATATAATCAATAAAAGCATTATTATATAATTTATGTTGCGATATTATTAAATATTATTATTTGAAATGGACATTTAGTAAAACGCTTTCTATTTCATATAAAATAAAAATAGATATAAGATAGAACATTTTTTAAGCTACGTATATATTTTTTCATAGGAGTATTGAGAGAAAGAAATGAATATGAAATTAAATTAATATTATATTATTCATTGATAACAATATCACATTTACTAACCAGCTGAAGCATTAGAAAGTGTCGACTGTTGTGAACCTTCATCTAAAGATGTTCCATCGGGACCGGTAGTAATAACAGATGTGACAGATGTACTATTAGAAGTTGCCGATACAGTTGCTAAGGTAGTAGTTGTATTACCCATATCATTTTGTGATTCTATATTCAGTGCTGATTCTACATATAAGTTTGGACTGGAAGAGGATGAATTTGGTGGAGGCATAGGGGGATTTTCTGATAATGAAGTTGTATTCGAATGCATAAGTTGATTAATGTGACTTTGAGATATTGGCGGAGGTCCCATTGCAGGTGGTCCCATATTTCCAGCTGTACTGTACACCTGCGGTGAGACCAAATTTTGTGTAAGTCCTGTTGATACACTATTAAAATTCATTTTATGCTATAAAAATGAAAAAAGGCGTTATGTAATATAAAAAGTAAAGTAATTTTTTATATTTTTGTTCTTACAGGATATGTGGAATACTGAGGCGAAATATTTGATCTTCCAGACTGATACTGATTATTTACCATTGGTGGAAATTGTAAATGAGGACGTAAATTAGGATAATTTCCTTGAGATCCGTAACTGTTACCCGGGTTAGAAGTATTAGCATAAACTGGTCCACCGGACGTAGAATTGGTATTGCTCTGTGGAGAACTTCCTTGTGTTGTACTTTGTCCACTAGTATTTATCTTGTAAGGGTGTGCTTGCACCGAAGAACCTGAAGTTGTTTCATAACCTATATATTATGTTAAATTTTAAATATGTTATATGAAAAAATGAGTATTATCTTATACACAATTATATACACAATATAAGTTATTTATTACTATATTATTACATTTCATACACAGTGAAACTGTGATCATAATCTCTATATTACTAATAGCATTTCTCACTCGTATAGTTCAGTAAGTTAACTTGGTAAATTAACTAAGAATAATTAGAAGCTGAGAACCTAACTCTTACAAATGAAAATTTTTAAAGAACATTTCCTTTCTTCAATTTCTAATGACCCTAACTATACGGCGCTGTTGCAATTAAATGCTCATTGAAATAATACACAGCTATCCAATTTCTTAAGCGAGTGACGCCACCATTCTGAAAATTTTATGATTACCGTTTTCCTGCACATATATATATATATATATATATATATATATATATATATATATACAGGGTGAGGAAAAAAAAAGTATGGAAACCCCGGAAAACCGCATGAGGTTAGTCATAAAATAAATGTCATACCCTATGTAACTTTCAACGAGGAACCCAACGGTGACCTCTGATTTAACCTTGAACCTCATTTTCAAGGTTATTTCAAGGTTAACCTTATTTTTTCATATGGGAACCCCTATTTTTTATACTGCAATGAAAAAGATCGATAAATTTTACGGGTGGGAATGATTCAAAGATAGCGTGATCCATAATCCTCCTTGAAACCATGTATTTTCAAAATCATCACATCTTAACGCCTGGATAGCTGAAACAATCTGATTTCACAAAAGTTACAGCGTTCAAATTTCCTGTGATAAAAAAGGGACCTATTATTGTATCGCCTGCCATTTATGCCCACATGTTTATTTTTTGAGGATACTGAGTGTGACTTTCTCTCATCCAATGAGGATTTGTGTTTGACCAATATCTAAAGTTATGACGATTGACTTCGCCATTTAATTGAAATGTCGCTTCGTCTGAAAAAACAATATTTTTTTTAAAATACAAAAACAGGGTTGATTTTTGCTAGAAAATGAATAAAAAGCAATTTGAAGATCTGTCTTTCTCGTATTTCTTTAGAATTTTGAAAAAAGAAGACACTTTTTTTTTCACACTGCACAGTTCATCTGGATCTCATTTTTTTCGCAGTTTTCATCTTTCATTTTAGAAAATAGAAAGTCACAACTTTGAGCATAAAATATCATTAAAATTGTCAAAAACTGGAAAGTCACGTTTTTTTTTTCGTTAAAACTTACGTTTTCTCCTCTTTCATGGGCTATAAAGCTAATTGTTTATTAGAAATGCAAAATTATTTTGAAAGTATTTGAAAGAAGTGAAAATTTAAAAATAAAATAGAAGTGCTTTTACAAATAATAATTAAAAAATTGTTATCATTTAGATTTTAAAATCTTATTTGTTCTTGACTTCTACTAATTGGAAGTTGAAACCATATTTTTTTGTTTTCATAGTAAATAGGCTCTAGAAAAAAAAATACTTGACCAATAAAAAAAAGCAAATTCGACAAATTCGTCAAATATTTCATAGTTTTTTTAGTTACAATAACAATATTAAATTTTTATTTTTTTCAAACGTTTAAAATGTTTCGTTTGTCCAAAAGAGAACGAATATTTCTTCTAACGATGAGGGGTTGGGATGATCAGCAAAGGTCGTATTACTAATGTTGTTAATCTCTTTAATAGAACGTTTAGAAACGGCGAAGGCGAAATTCCTTTGTCTAAATCCACAGTTTTAAAAACCTTAAGACGTTTTCAAGAAACGGGGTCAATTAAAAATCGTTCTGTTACTGGAAGACCACGAACAGCAACAAATGAAGAAAAATCTTTAAATGTTTTACTGTCTTTTGTGGAAAATCCACATGAATGTCGCTTCGTCTGAAAAAACAAAATATTGTTTTTTCAGACGAAGCGACATTTCAATTAAATGGCGAAGTCAATCGTCATAACTTTAGATATTGGTCAAACACAAATCCTCATTGGATGAGATAAAGTCACACTCAATATCCTAAAAAATTAAACGTGTGGGCAGGAATAGTAGGCGATACAATAATAGGTCTCTTTTTTATCGAAGGAAATTTGAACGCTGTAAGTTATGAACAACTTTTGCGAAATCAAATTGTTCCAGCTATTCTGGTCTTAAGAGGTGATGATTTTGAAAATACATGGTTTCAGCAAGACGGTGCTCCGGCTCATTATGGTATAAATATCAGACAATACCTCAATGAAACATTTTTTAACCCTTTGTTGCACATATTTTTCTGTTCAGTGGTTTTACTTGAAAATTCCTGCTCGGGGGTTTTCGAGGTCGCTGATCACGAATATGAAGTCGGAATGCAGAAATTATTGATTCAAAATGACGGATTCAAGATGGCGGCTCGGGAATTTTCGATAAATTAGATGTACAAGCTTAAAAATCACTACCCAAGGGTTTTTGCGGTTGCTGATTACGAATCTGTAAATTTTTTTTATAGTTCATCATTGTAGATCTAATATGACGAATACTACGACATAAACAATGGTTAAAATATTGGGGACTTTCGAAAATTTACTCTTTTTTTGCGTAACCCAGAGCTAACGACGAGGACGTAAAAGAGTACTAGCTCCATTTTTTTTTTTTTTTTTTTTGTTTCTTGTTTTTTTTTTTGTTTTTTTATTCTTTTTTTAGTATTTTAGTAGTAATTTAGTAATTTTTTTAGTATTTTATTCAGTTTTTAGAATTATTCAAACTATTTTTTATGTATTTTTTTTTTTGATTTTGCCCATGAAGTTATGAAAAAGTAAGCATTATTCTTTACCTAAGTGTGGTAATTTTGGAAACAATTTCTATCTTGCAAAAGACACAATGGTACATCGCAAGTCATACATTTCCACTTTGTTCTCCTTTGATCCTTTCTTGTACTGCAATGAACACATTGTTTTGCGCTTTGAATAGAAACAGGCATATGAGCTGCTTGATTGCGTCTTTTCTCTAAAGAAACTTGTGGTTTCTGGTAACGAAAATCTTCCGAATGGTCAGATTTGCGCTTTCGACCTTTGGCAGTTTTGTGTCCTACCATTTGTTCTACTAAATTTAATCGAAATTTTTTCAAATTCAACGTTGGTTTTATATGTTTTTCTCTGTATAAAATATATGCATTACTTATTGTTAGATCGAGAAAATGCCAAAATATTCTAAACCACCACTTTTTAGATTTACGATCAATTTTATAAACTGAAATAAGTCGATCAGCATAATCTACATAACCCATGTGCTTATTATAATCTGAAGAAACAACAGGACAATTGACGCATTTTAGAGAGCCATCTTTTTGTCTACGATTTACGGTAGTAACTTCAGATGCATCGTAAAAGTTGGATAGAAAATAAACTGGTCCATTTTTTTTTTTGTATTTTTTATCATTGATATTCGTTGGTAGACCAGAACGATTCTGCCGAACCGTGCCACATGCGTTTATTTTATCTTCTTTCAGTGATGAAAGAAGTTCCACCCCAGTAAAAAAATTATCGAAATATACGTGATGATTGCCATCAACAAGTTCTCGTGTAAGGTCTTTTACAACTCTTGTTCCCAATTGTTTTTCAGTGTTGTCTACTTTTCCAGTGTAGATTTGAAACTGGCATACGTAACCAGACTCATCTGCGCGAGTCCAGCACTTATATCCGCGCTTGATAGGTTTAGCTGGCATGTATTGTTTCATAGTACTTTTCCCTTGAATTTTATCATAGACTCATCTACAGATTGGTGTTTACCAGGATTGAAACTTTCTTTGAAGGTTCGAGAAAGCTCGTCTAAAAGTGGTCTTACCTTATACAGTTTATCGTAATTTGGATCACCTTTTTTTGGTTCTTTAGAGTTGTCCTTGACATGCATATGAGACAGAAAAAAACTAAAACGATTAACAGTTATGAGAGATGATATGTAAGAATCACGTAGCTGAGGGTTTTCACTCCAATAATCTCGGTAAGATGGCAATTTTTTTATACCCATCAGAATGTTAATACCTAAAAATATTTTTAATTCTTTTTTTGTGATGGGATCTTGCTTACCCTTTTTTTGAAAAATGTACAGATTAATTTGATGTACAATATGATCCAATAGATCAGAAGAAAATAAACAAGAGAATATGTCTAATGGTGATTTCGCTGTATCTGGAATGTTTGGACCAAAGCTTTTAGAAAACATAAAATCCGATCTTGGCCAACTAACAGACTCTCAAATATCAGATTGATTTAAATCATCAATGTCTTCTGCGTCCATTGATTCTTCTTCGTCATCGTTATTATTTACAGTAGAAACATTTTCGTTTAAAAGTGATCTTGAGTTCACAACGTCTTCTTCGTTGTCAGAATATTGAAGCCCATCAACCGATTCAGAATCGCTAGAAATTTCGGTTGTAACAACATTTTTTTTTCTCCCCATATTTATAACTTTTTGTAACTTTGAATACTTTCAATGTGCAAAAAGTAACTTTTATAAAAAAAATATAAGCTCACAAAGTCATGTAAAAATATAAAATTGGTATTAGTTTTGATCAATAGCATTTGCAATGAAAAGTCAGAATTTTTGAAAATATTTCAGGATTGTAAAAAAAAGTTATTATGTTTATTTCCTATTCATAATAAAAAAGAGTTATGATAAAAACAAAAAATTACCTCTAAATATATCACCTCATCTACGATTTCAACGATTTAGATGTAAACCTAAACTACATATAATTTTTACCTCGATTTTTATAAAGTGATTTCAAATTGGATTCAACAACAAGTAATGATTTATGAGCTGTTTTTAAAATTTTGATACTATCATCTTAGATCCGCGATTTTGAATTGAAAATTTGACAATTTTGATGTTAGATTTATGATCGGCAATCTTAAAAACCCCCAAGTAGAGATTTTCAAGTTGATACATTTATTTTTTTTAAATTTCTGCCGCCATCTTAAATACGCCATTTTGAATTGAAAACTTTGGAATTCCAACTTTATTTTTGTAATCAGCGACCCCAAA